GGCAGCTACTCCAGCATGAATTTGATCCTGGGCCACATGTGCACCCACATGGTGCAGCAGACCCGCTGCTCCCCTCAGCAGTGTGTTTCAGTCAGTCTGCCTGTTCTGCTTCCCACTCTGCCTCCGGTGAATCCTTCACCCCCTCCCCCACCTCTGGCATACACCCCAATTCTTGCATTGATAAATAAAATATATCTTTAAAAATAAATAAAAGAAAAGCTTAAGTAACACTTCCACATTGACTAAGAAGTTCCTTCAGTGGACATTTACTGAGGACTTCTGTCTGTCAGCCTTGGTGCTAGGAGCACAGTGTTGAACAAACTCCCTCCCCTGGCGAGCGTAGCTTCATGTGACATACACTCTCCCGCTGGCCTTTCTCGACAAGCCCTGTCTCCATACTCTTCACTCTGCCTCACTTGTGTTGCTGCTCATTCTCAAAGAGGTCCTGAATGTTGATGCTTACGTCTGGGTCTAGAAGCTCTCGGAAATCAGACTTGTCCGTTGTCTGTCTTTTCCTCCTGTCAGGAGCCTTCTCAAGTCTCATCTCCCAACAGTTCTACCCCATTCTCCTGTCTCTGCAGCACTGTTTGCTCATCCCTGAAGCCTGGCAGCATGCGTCTCGTGACATCCAGCATGCGCCAGACTCTGGGGGGCATGCAGAGATCACTTGTAAAGAGCCCGCAGTCCAGTCAGGGAGATAGGCAGATCACAGGTGCTGTGCTGAGGCTCCTGAGAAGGGGCACAGGACCCAAGGCCAGGGAGGACAGGGACTGCTTCCTGGAAGGGAGGTGGGTGGGTGAGCTGATTCCCTTTACACTTTGATTTAAAAACCACGTGGTTCTTGGACCCTCCCTGCAGCAGGAGTTGGATCCCTGGCCAGGAAAGTGACTCACATGGCACGGCAGACCTCTCCTGAACCACCCGTTGTGTATTTCAGTACATCACCTGTTCTGCTCCCCACTCGGGCTCTGGTGAATTCTCTCACACACCCCTCCCCTCTACCTCTGGCCTGTTCCCCAGTTCTTGTAGGCATAATTTTGAAAAAATCTTTATGTACAATAATAATAGCCATGTGGTCCTTCTGAAAGCTTAAACAGGAAAATAAGGTCTTTTTAAAATGCATGTTCCTCTGACTGTCCCTGGCTAGACTGGAAGCCTCGAGACGACAGTTGTGTAAGTTTTCATCTGTGTTCCCTTGGTTTGTTGAGTAGAGTGGCACCAAGGTATAATGTACATTCTGAGCGTTAGTCTTTTGTGAATCATTAAAATCCAGTGAGATTACAGTGACTTATGTTTGGTGTTTGTTCTCTTTGTTTCCAGTACTCGTACTTACTAACAAGCCAGCTGGAGTCTCAGAGAATCTACTGGGAAAACAAGATAGTGCGGATAGAGAAGGACACAGCAGAGGAGGTAAGCTCAGGGTCTGGCGAGGCTATGCTGGCCCCGGGCAGGGCAGTCTGGTGGGGGAGGGGCGGAACCCGAGAGGCAGTGGTGCCCAAGCAACCTCCTGCAGGTAGGCTGTCTGTTTTGCCTGTAAAATGGAACCTCTGTTCTATGTCAGTTATATCTCAAGCTGACAGAATAGGGAGCAAACAGAAAACAAAAAGAAGAATCAATTGGCTCCCTGTTAAGCACAGTTCTCGATCAGGATTCCAGAGACAAGTGGTAAATACTGATGTGGTCATTAACTACAGGCTTAGCCCCTGAAGACAGTGTCAGGGAACAAGAAATTCGAGAGCATCATGAGAATAAAATTAGTCAAAAAGAGGAAAAGGAAGAGAAAATGTAATCAACTAAGCATGATTTAAGAAGATGAGGGGGCAGACATTTATTATAGCTAGGATTCGTATGTCAAGAAGAATGTGTTAAAAGTTGATTACATGGGCCCTCCCTGGTGGAGCAGTGGCTTAGGACCAGCATTGCAAGCGAGCAGCAGCTGCTTCAGGGCAAGTTTGATCCCCATCCCCCGCCCCCCCCCAGGTCACCCATGTGGCAACCCATGTGGCACAGCAGACCTCTCCTGACCCGCCCGCTGCTCCCTCAGCAGAGTATGTCGACGATCTGCCTGTTCTGCTCCCCACTCTGTCTCTGGTGAAGCCTCTCACCGCCCCTGCACCTCTGGCCTGAACCCCAGTTCTGTATGCACAAATAAATCTTAAAAATAAATTGATTATGTGCTGAACTCTAGACCTACTAAGTTAAGGTTAAGGGAAAAGTAGAAATGAAATACTTGGCAAGTACCCTAAAAAAGGAAAAAAGAAAGCTTAGATTTAAAAGTTTGGGTATTTGGGCATTTGGGGTGGGGAGGGGACTTGTTTTTATTTACTTCATCGGGTTTTTCGTGTCTTACGCGATTTCATAAAAACTTGAAGTATGTATGTGAGTGTAATTTGAGTCAGCCAGTTGGTTTGCGTTGGGAACAGCTGCCTGGGGAGCTGAACGTGGGCTTCAGAGGCGCAAAATGGTGCTTTGAAATTAGTGGGAATAAAGCTGCGCAGAGATACTGGAGCTTCAGTGGGCACCGCAGGCCTTGTTGTGGTAGGAGCCGTGGGCTTCAAATTGTGACAGTCATCCTTTAGAGAAGATGCCACTCACTGCTCCAACAGGTAAAAGAGACGAGTGGTGCTTTGGTGGCAACTCAGGGGAGGCCTAGACTCCTTGGCTTAACTTTCCCTGTCTCCAGCACAAGCACCCCTGAGAGTTCCCAAGGATGGGGCTTGAGCATCAGTGAGCACTTAAGTGCTCGTAGCTCTGCTCTAGAAACTATTTTCAGGACCCTCAGACAGGGTTCATAATTCATTGATTCCCTTAGAATGTTAAATGAAGACCCTACATTTTTTGAAATGGTCATTTAGTGACCAATAACTGGACCCACAGAGCTGGGCTTGGGACTGACTTCTGAGGACTCTCATATTACCCTGGGGCTCAGCAGGCAGTGCCAAGCTCTTGCTTTATGCCAGGCCCACAGGCCCCAGTTTCTGCACATGCCTACAAATGAGAAGTCAGGCTTTTAAATGCAGGCTTAACACCCACTTTTAAATGATCTCTAGTTAAAAATTCTTGGCGAGGTTCTCACAAGAATCTTACAAGCCGTGGAAATGTCTTTCTAGAAGCTCTCAAGGTCCATGGACACTTGGGTTCTGAGCAAGGCTCAATTGGAAGACGTGGGAAGATGAGCCCCAGTGGCTCTCAGAAGCGTGTGTCCCCGGCCGCTCAGTGCTGAGCCAAGGAGGCGGGGAGGAGGCCTGGCAGGAGCCCTGTGCTGCTTCCCCGGGCCTCCCTATGGGCTGCACCAGTGTGGCCATGAGAAGTACTTTGCGCAGGCCTGAGCAAAGCTCAGCATTCTCCCTGCCTGTTCAGGTTCTCTAAGATTGACTCCATTCCCCAGCCCACGACCATTGAGAGCAAGTCAGGGGAAACTGAAAACTGAATGAAGCTTGGGTTTGCTTTTTGGTGAGCTGAGATAGTGCAAGAAGCACAGCCTAAAGTGATGAACTTGAAGGACTTGGAAATTATAAATGATGTTATATGTTTTGTTTTGTTTATAAGATTGATTTATTTGTGCATTTCAAGAGCTGGGGTACCGGCCAGAGGTGCCAGGGTTGGGGGTGGGGGGCGGTAGGGGTGAGAGGATTCACCAGACACAGAGTAGGGAGCAGAACAGGAGGATCTGCTGCAACACACTGCGGAGGGGCGCAGTCGGTGAGAAAGAGATCGGCTGCACCATGTGGGTCAGCTTCCTGGCCTTGGCTCACACTCAGGCTGCAGTGGCTGGTGATAGCTTGATAGCTCTGAGACTTTAACCCCTGTTCCACGAGGCAGGCCTTACAAAGTTAATTTCTACAGAGCGGTTAAACGTTTATTTAAAACAAAACAAAACACAACAGTGCTGTTGTAGACCTGCTAGGCAGGCCGTGCAGCCAGTGTTCTTGGATGAAAGCTACCCCATTCACTGTGGGTCTCCATCAAGAGTGGAGAGTTCAGATCTTGCCCAGAGGTCATTTTTTCCTTTCTGTAGCTTTGACCTACAGTGTAGTGTGCAGAGTGTTTAAAAGTTGACTTTGGGCCCAGATTTGAGGTCCTGGATCCACCACTCTCGGATTAGGTCACCTTGGACATATTGCCTCACTTTTCTCAAATCCTCCATGTTTGTAAAAAGTTTAAATACATCTAAGTCATAGGCTTACTGTGAGAAACAAACAAAATACTGCTCATAAAACACCTGGCTAGAGGATTTAGATTCTCAGATACTTTCAATTCCCGTTACTAACTATGGCGTCAGGATCCCCCCAGCCTTACCCTTCCCTCGCCACCTCATCATCTGGGTCCTTAGACCAGGAGAGGCATTTGCCGGACCTGTAGATCTTCACACCTGAGTGAAGCCAGTGTGTGAAGAGACTTGTGGCTGGGATTGTTGCCGTCTCACACATAATACACCAGAACTTCATAATTATCTGAAGCTTTTAAGATACTGTGGTATGAACTAGTCATACACACACACACTCAGCAGGGGAACGATGGAGAATTGAATGAAGAATGGGGACCCTGGTCTGGCCTCTGACCTTCCAGCTGCTTCTCTGCTGCCAGAAGCTTGTTCTCTACCTCTGAGCAGTTTCTGGTGCCACGTGCAGCAACTGCTGACCCCTGTTCACCCTGGTATAGAGAAAAAGTAAGAAAGAAAGGATGGCTCAGAGTTTTTGTTCGTGTTATAGAAGTGCTCTCAAGCCAGTGTCTTACCTTTTCTAAGTTCTGGTTTTCAACACAGGTAATTGAAAACAAAAAATTGTGACGTCAGTCCCACAGGCCACAAGAATTTGTCTTTGTGAGTGATACTGAGCTCTGCTTGCTCTTGCAGATTAATAACATGAAGACCAAATTTAAAGAAACAATTGAGAAATGTGACAATCTGGAGCACAGACTAAACGATCTCCTTAAAGAAAAGCAGTCTGTGGAAAGAAAGTAGGTATAGCTGGTCTGTTCTTTAAATTAGCTATTTTACTGTAACAGCTCCCTTAAGCAACTAATTTCCTTCATGCCTGTGGAAGCACATGCATTTCAGGTGTGTCCACCACCAGGTTTTCAGGGGTCTCTGTCCATTCAAAGCAAGCTTGCTGCGACTTCTTTTTTGTTAGAAAACAGGTTTGTGGCAGATGGGCGCCACGCCGGGTGCGGGGGCTCTCCTCGCATCTTTGCTCCGGTCTGTGCTAAGCACTTCCACTTTTGCTCTCCAAAGCGTCTTCCTTCTGCCCACAGTTGTAACTTCTCTGTGGTGTCTGGGCTGAGGATGGCATATATCTGACTTGAACAGGAATTAAAGGCCAAAGATGTTGAGGACAGAGCAAAAATCCCATGAGCCACGTGGCAAGAACAGATGTTACTACTGTTATTTGGGAATGTGGTTGCTACTGGTTGAAAAATTAACTTTCTGATTTAAAATCATTGAATTTTAACCTCTAGACAAATGCCTAACATAAATTTAAGGGGTATACTTGTTCCTTTAAAAAAAAAAATTTAAACCCTTTTAGAATAAGTATTCATACAAATGTTGCAAAATAGTATACAAAGAATTCCCTTAAGCCCTTCACCTGCATTCCCTAACTGCATATGATAGGGTTTTTTTTTTTTTTTAAATAGAATCTGTGTAAATATGTGTTAAAATACATATATAACATAAAATGTCCCAATTTAATCACTTTTTAAGTGAATAATTTAGTGGCTATAAGTGCATTCAGTATGCACAGTTACCACCACTCACTGCTTTCAGAATTTTTCAGTACTCAGCACAGAAACGCTTCACCAAAGTTTCTCTTAACTGTTGTAAAAACAACACAGCAACATTGACACAAAACCTAAAACTTCTCCTTTACGTGCAGCACCTCACACATTGAATTGTATTGTATTGGAGAATTAAAACTGGAAATTGCCTTTCACCCCCCGCAACCCTGCTACCTGGACAGCACCATGAAATGTGTATCCTTAAGGCTTTTGCTTGCCCCGTAACATCTCACATACACGTTCTTTCTTCCTTACAAAACTAGAACAATACTATTTGGTAAAATATTCTGTTTTGAGGATTTTTGTCCATATTGACACATCTAGATCAATCCTGATATTTGTTGGCCACTATTTTCTAGAATGAAGGGCCCATCACGGTTTTGACCAGGTCCCTGTTGACGGACTTTTTCTGGCCTTGTCTTGACTACTGTGAACAACACCGCGAGGAGCGTCTGTCTCTGGTGTCCATCAGCACAGTGTTGAGGAGGCCTGTTGTGTAGGATCCATTCCTGGAGGGGAAGAGCCATGTCCTGGGGCTTGTGAGGTTCTTCTTTCGTAGATGTTGAGTTGACTTCTGCGAAGTCCGTTCTGACTCACGCTCCAGTGCCAACGTGTGAGGTCGCCTCTTCCCACAGCCCAGCTCTTTGACATTCTGATACGGAAAAATGGTATCTCCAAGGTGTTTAAATTTGTAATTCTTCACTTATGAGTGAGATTGAGCCTCAAGAATGGGGCACTCCCTATTCTTGAAAACCCTTCTCTAGCAAATGCAGCAAGGTCAGAATGCTTGACTCTCCAAGAATGTCACTTTTCCTCATAACTTCCTTATCATAGGCATCATCTCTCAGCCACCTATTTCACCACTGGCTGCTAAACAGAGCAGCATTAGAAATTTCACCACAAATGACAAAATAGTTTCTGTTGGTGAAAATTTCCAATGCTTAAAAAAATTGTCTTAAAATGACACTTGGGTTAACCAGAGCAAAATCCCTGCTTGGTGTAGGGGTTTCCTCACCAGCCCCCTCACCATGGAAGGGAGCAGTCCACCCTAACTGGATGCTGAACCAGAATGGCTCTTCGGTTCAATCCCAGAGCAAAAAGGGGACTGTCAGCAAAAGAAAAAAACACGCATTTGTCTTTCTTTGTTCCCGAAAGGTGCACTCAGCTAAACACGAAAGTGGCCAAACTCACCACAGAGCTCAAAGAGGAGCAGGAAATGAACAAATGTTTGCGTGCCAACCAAGTCCTGCTGCAGAATAAGCTGAAGGAGGAAGAGAGGGTGTTGAAGGAGACCTGCGACCAAAAGGACCTGCAGATCACCGAGATCCAGGAGCAGCTGCGAGACGTCATGTTCTACCTGGAGGCACAGCAGAAGATCAACCACCTGCCGGCTGAGGCCCGGCAGGAAATCCAGGAGGGACAGATCAACATCGCCATGGCCTCAGCCTCCAGCCCCCCTCCTTCTGGCAGCAGTGGGAAGCTGCCCTCCAGGAAGGGCCGCAGCAAGAGGGGCAAGTGACCTTCAGAGAAATGGATATCCTTGAGACTCTTCCCCGGCACGGTGAGGGTGTGCTAGGGCCTTCAGCTAAATGTGAGGGTGGACCCCGAATAAGCACAAGCAAGGATCAAGCCGCAGGTGTTTGGTGTGTGTTTCATTTGCCAGTGTGTGCTGTGACCGGGGCGGGGGCGCTGACTAGGGAGCTGAGGGGGTGGACCATCGTGGAAAGGTGGCTGCTTTTTTTCAGCTGTAATGTTCACTAACTCAGACATTCTGACGACCATTTTGCCTTCCTACTTGACAGACGCCCCAACTCTGCTGTGCATTTTTCCTCTGTATTTATTGAGTTGGCATATTTGACCTTCAGTGCTGGGTCCATTTAAGACATTGAAATTTTTTTTGGCAACTTCGAAGGTAACGTGACCTCGTCCAGAAGCACCACGCCTCCCCGAGCTTATAGCGGCTGCTTTAAAGAGAGGTTCCCGTAGGCTACTGAGGTTTTATGAAATGTCCTTAGCACTAGTCTCATCATTACCTCCCTTCCACCACCACCCCCAGGGGAACTGAAGAATTGGTTGAATGTTTCATGAAAAGAGGCGCTGGCCTCTCACCAGCAGCCGTTTCTTCTTACTCTGGAATCAGCCAGGAAAAGCAAACAGCCAGTAGACCCAGTGTAGGAAAATGGTGGTGTTCCCGTTGCTTATTTTTGATGGCTCCATACTCCATTATGAATCTCCTATGAGGAGGAGGCTTAGTAGTAGCCCCAAGACTCAAATCTCAGCGGATTTCCTCACACGAGCAAGAATAAGCAGGCACACTTGCAAGCCGTGTGAAAATGTGGACGGAGGTCTCCGCCTGGCTGATTGTGTATTTTGCTGGGATCAGTATTTTCTGAATGTTTACAAAAGACTGGGCGGCATGTTCAGGTTGCGGCTAGAGGGAGCTTGAGCACATTTTCAGTTATGCTTGCAAGATAGAACCAAAGGCTGTTTCTCAATCTGAAAATCAGAATTTTAACAGAGCCCCTTTACAGCAGTCTGCAGTGCTTGTTGAGGGTCAACAGAGGGTTTGTGTACTTTCTTGGGAAACCGAAGCATCCAACAATTTGTCATACTCAGTGACTGAGCAAGAGGAATGTAAGCCCTGTGTTGTAATTTAGTTTCCAAAAGACGTAGTTGGATGGTTAAGGGACATGCTGTAAAATGAGGGGCTTGGGCTTGTTTTTTCCTTCTTATAACTAGCCAAAGTTTTCAACTTATTACACTTTCAGAAGTGTTTTATAGCCTTTGGTTCGGCCTCATCCCCTTTGACCTGACGTCTTTCTTGTTACCTGTTAGCACACCGGCTGTATCGCTAACCACCATCTATTGTGGGATGTGCTGCAGCATTTCCCAAAGAACCTTACCTGTAACTTTGCAAAATGAATGTACTCAGACATTCTCAGTTTTTACGTAGGCAAACCAACTCTCCTAAGTCCCCCTTGGACTTACATATATATATATGCGCGCACACAGATATCTTAAAGCAAGAGTGGGAATGTAAAGCGTAACTTAATTCTCTTTCCTATAGAGATTCTATTTTATTTAAAATCTATTTTTACACTAGTTAGAATCTTGCTTTTTTGGCCAAGCACTTGTTTTGCATGTCTGACCTTGCAGAAGCTGGGGTGGATCATCGCAGCATACTAATTAAGAGAATTGGAAGTAGTTTGCAAAGCTTACTTGATCCTCATTTCTCAATGATCACCTCCATCAAGCAGCCCTACCACCAGCTGGGAGAACAGAGATTTTCAGTCTAGGTGGGAGAAATATTCTGACAGGCTGTGCTCATAGGAATGAGCAACTAGGCAAATATTTCCAAACTACTTGAAGGCTTACGAAATTGTTCCAAGAAAAAAAGAAAACGTATCGAGATCTATAAAGAAAAAAATTTTTTAATGGTCAGAGTCCTGGTTGAATTTGACAAAATTATATAAGATAGAAACTGTTAGTGTTTTCTTGGTTGGAAATGAACCACTTAACATATCCATACTACCTTGAACACCTTGAACATTGAAACTGCATTAAAATAACCAAACTTCGAAATGATCTTGTGCCTGGTGTGAAATTTGTGTCTCTCTGATTTACATTTGCTTGGGAAGCTGATTTAAACCATCTAAGAAAGTGGTCTGGATTTTAAAAATAGCATGAAGAGTCAACCCTACAGCAAGTTAGTGAGCAGCCAGAATGTGTGTCTCTCTGCCCCTTTGTTCCAGCTGCCCACACTAATAAAATCACCAAACCAGAGACAAACTAGGGAAACCTAATTTGGTGGGTCTGCGTAGAAGACCCGGCACACAACTCTTGCAAACTGAAAGCAAGCGACCAGTATATACACCTGGGACCTCTTTTCTCAGGCACCAAGATGGTTTCATTGCTGTCAACTGTCACAAATGGGACTTGTTAGGATTCGCTGGGTAACACCAAGCACAGAAGCAGCTACGCCTCCCTGCTGGCATGGTGAAGTTGTCCTCATCGAAAGAGCTGAGAAACTGATTGAAACAGCCAGCCAGTAGAGTGTGGAGAATTTGGCAAGTCACGAATGAACAACCTTCTGTCATCTCTTGGAAACCCCTCCCCCACTGCAGTCCGGATACGCAAGCTACAAATACTCCCCTGGAGACTTGGCTGCTGCGACCGCTGCCACATTGCTTGGGCTGGTGGCAAATTTTGGCTGGTGTGAAGTCCACGGGCTGATGGGAGAAAAGGAAAATCACTCTCTCAGTATTTGAGGAAAGCTATTTTGTTTTCTCCAGGATCATGCTGTATTCATTGTCGCAGTGATTCTGCTGCACTGCTTTTCACTTGGCAGCAGAAGGGAAAATTTTCAGGAGTCTAAGATCCAGCTCCCAACTCCTTAATGACACTTGGAGACATCAAAACCACCAGGCCTGGCCATTCCCTTAAACCAGCCTAGGAAGCCACCAGTATTCTCTGGTCTCTGTTGCTGGCCAGTCTTCTTTCCTGTGACTGTCCCTGCACGTCAGTCCTAACGTATCTGCATAGTGGACACAGCAACAGATGCAGCACTGAAAGTTAAAATGTTTAAATGACAGCAGAAAATGAAAGAGAAATAGGGTAACAAGACTGTCGTCAGGAGCTCTGTTTTGCCCTGGAGCCAAGGCTGGTGAATGTGTCACTGCAGTGAAGTGTTTTCCTCTCACGCAAACAAGCACATTCTTTGCATTGGTGCATTGGGGACTTCAGGAAGTTAGAAGAATTTTTTTGTTCTGTTGTTTTTTTTTGTTTTTGTTTTTGATTTTTTTTGTACTTTTGGGAGGATGGGGAGAGGTGGGGCCCTCTGTCAGACCCTCTTGATTTTATAATAGCTATTGTTACCATTTATCTCTAAATAACAATCCTTCTTACCTGACCCCTGAAACACTCACTGTGACAGTAGGCTCAGTCAGACATTGTGAAAGCTGTCCTTCCTGAAGCCAAAACTATTTCCGACTCTTCTTGGCTCATAGACTTTTCATGAACGTTGAACAGTGTCTTGCTGTGATTCTGGAAGCTTAGAGAGCATGAAAGGGGCTCTGCAGTTGGTTCTTAATCTAGATTTTGCATTCTTGCTGCATTAAAGAAGGCCGGGAAGAGAGATGAACAGTCTGTTGTTTTATACAAGATGACTGGTCTTTGAGACTTAATGCTGAATTGCTTCAGGTCAGAAACTTCTCGCTGGAATCGTCTGGAAAATGTGGTTTTGGTACTTGGCACAGAGCTGCCTGGTGCAGATAACATTTGTTACTCCAAGGCTAATTATCAAGCACACTAAGTGAGCTAAAGCAGCTTTGCTTCTTTTCAGACTGTTCTAAATCTGCTGACCCAAAACTCCTTTCAGATTCAGCCTCAAAATAAGTGCAGAGAGGCTTGTCCAGGGTCGGGGAGCCGGAGCAAAAATCGTCTGCAAAGAACTTGAAGGTTTACAATTCCCAGGCCCTGAGTATAATATGACAGATGGTTCAATTCCTTTCAAAAGATTGCGCTCATCATAAAGGTAGACCCGGAGGCACTTTCTGACCTGACCTAGGTGGAGATGGCTTTTATTGAACAGAGCAGCAGGTTCGGGACTAAACCTCCTTATTTAGAAGGAGCTGAAGATTGCCGCCAGCTGCATTGATTCCTGATTTGAAGTTCTCCATCCCTTGGCTGTGGCCCAGTTAATAGGCAAAAAAGCTTGGACCTTCCCTAGAGGACTGAAGGCAGCCAAGTGCCATTATAAGAATGGGGTGTTTCCACCACTTGAGGAACTCGCCTGTGTCACTTTACATCATTAGCATAACGCTTAGCCCCAGAAGACCCATGGCTAACTGCAAAGGAGGAAAGAGAACTAATTCCTGGGGCAGGACAGATCACAGAGAAAGCCCTAAAAGTGAAGATGAGTAAGTGGAAAATTTTAGGAGGAGCAAGGAGAGTCCCTCTTGGCAACGCTCCACCGGAGAACAAACACACTGGCTTATCACACACAGACAGAGGGTCCTCCAGCAGCATTTTCCAGGCATGATCCTTTGTGAAGGACTTAGCTTGAACGGTGCCCACTCACGCATTCTAGCTCATTAGTTTATGTTCATGCGGAAATGATGAGCCCAGAACGATTTTGCAGAAAGCGCTGCAGTAGGAGAGCCACGTCACAAACTCCCCTCCCCGCCCCACCTGTCCTTGGGGAAAAAAATTAAAATCCTCTCTCCAAAATGCATGCCTCAGGAAAACAGCTTCATTGCATTTGTTTCCATGCTGCGGGAAATCAACACTTAACTGGCTGGGATCCTAACAGGGCTCACTGCAGAGCGCTCTGGCTGCCGCCGCAGCCCAGCCCTCTAGGCCTCCTGCCACCCTCCCCCCTCAACCCGGCCTCAGTTTTGTGGGAATTTGCCTGGGGGAGGGGGCGGGAGCTGCCTGAACTCAGCTGGCCCGAAGGAGGAGGCCCCACGCTATGGCCCAGAATCTTTCCTAAAAGTCCATATGGGATCGCTAGCGGCTGCCAATCCTGCACTTTCTCTTTGGCCATTCCTGGCTCCCTTGGGCCAGAGCTGGCTGAAGCACTCCCCATCCTTTCTCCCTGGTGCTGCATCCCCTCTCCCTTAGGCTTCTTTGCCCATCATAGTTGCAAATAAACGTTCCTCTGTTTTTCAGAACCACGGTAATAACCCAGAATCACAAGCTGCACCAAGCCACCCGCTTCTTGGTTAACCCTCAGGAGATAGCTGCCTCTGGGTGACAACTTCTCAAGTTGTCACCTACTGAGATAACATTCTTGTGGGAAGGGAGGTCACTAAGCTTAAGGATGCTAACTGGATTACCTTGGCTTGTGTGAAGCCTCAGACCCCCCAAAACCTAGAAGAACATCCATCTGAGAGACCCCTTTTCCCACAAACACCCATTACCCCAAGTAGAAAATGCAAAGGGACGGACCCCCAAACTCTTCTTTCTTAGGAGTCAAAGCAGAGAGAGGCCCTGGGCACTTGCTGAGAATTGAAGGCAGGCAGAGGCCAGGCCTGTCTTGTGTGGCAGTACTTGATGCCAAGACTAACTAGCTCACCATTGTCAAGTTCCTAGCCACAAAACTGCAGTAACCCCATCTGTGCTTTTTGTTCCAGTCAGTTCTAAACACAGCCTCCAGAGGAGGTAGAGCTGCCGTGTTCGTGTTTTGCAAATCAGGGAACCGAGGTTGGGGGCGAGAGCCAGGGCCTGGCTATACTCAAGCCATAGGCTGTGCCATCAAGGACAGCTCAGCACTGTCTATCCCCAAAGCTGGGCTCCACTGCCTCGGCTTTCTTGTTACCCCAACTTGGGGACAGAAAGAACTCAGCTCCAGCTCCTGTTTTGTGGTGCTTTTGGACAAGTGCGGGCTGTGGCGTGAAGACCACTTCCGCAGCAGTCCAAGGCCCTGTAGTACTACAGCCACTTCTCTGCATGCTTGCTCAGCTGTTAGAACTTCCTAACTTCTCCCTGTCTCCTCTCCCACTTCAGCCGTGTCTGAGCCAGAGCTGATAAGGATGGAAGAAGAAAATCATGCCTGTGCTTCCCCCAACATACCCAAGGGCCCTGTGAAATCACTTAGCTTCAGTCGCCTGTGCTGGCCTCTGCACCCGGGAGGCGTGGGCCGGTGCACACAGCCACCTAAATGGCTTCTCGGGGCCCTCATAGAGGGCTTTGTAGAAACTTCCAGAAAGTTGCTTCTAAGCTCTAAGAAGTCCTTCTTGTAATATATTTTGATACAATGTTATATAATAAGTATACATAAAAATGCATTTGTTTTTTCAGTAGTATCATTTCTTATTCAATAGAATTTCCTCTTATTTAATGACATACCTTTCTTTTCATATAATATTAACGTACTAATATAACATTTAATAATATAAATGATACAGTTAATTTTTTGAAGCTTGTATGCTTTAAAAACATGCAGGGTGTAGGTCAGAGGTATAGGGGGTGGTGAGAGGATTCTCCAGAGACAAGTGGGGAGCAGAACAGGCAAACTTGACCGAAGTACACTGCCAAGGGCAGCAGAGGGCGAGACAGAAGTCTGCTGCACCATGTGGGTCAGCTCCCTGGCTGGGGCTTGAACTCCTGCTGCAGTGGCTGTAGTAGCTTGACAGTGCTGTGTCTTTAACCCCTGCACCGCCAGGGAGGCCCTCCATGCATGTTTTTATTTGTCTTGTAGGAGTTATTTGAGGGCCTGCTAAGAGCCAGCTAGGAATACAACCGCCTCAGCCACTGCCAACCTGAGAGCAGGCAAAAGAGGCTATCCCGAATTCAGATAACGGTAAGTGCCAGAAAGAAAAATGAACGGGCAGAGGAGGGAAGGCAGGGTAGGAGACCTCTGCGTCAGTTGGTTCAGAATCCCGGCTGTTGTGAGCCCCCAGTCTGTTACTCTGGGAAGCTAGCTCACTGGCCTTCCCTCCCAGAGCTGCTCCACTGCCACCCAGCTCTCCTCTTCCCACAGTCTCCCTCACTGCGAAGCCTTCCAGCCTTCCGGGAAGGCCCTGGCACCTGGGCCAACCTTGGCTTTTCCTTCCCCAGCAGCGATCCTGCCCCAGTTTCGG